AGATAAGTGATTGGATTGAGTCTTGAATCCGTTGAGTTAGTGGACGAGTGGTTGGACTCAATGGACGAAACCGATAGATTGAGCGATTTTGGATCAGTTGTTCCCCTCTTTCCATGGACTGCACTTCTCTCCCCTTTCATCTCCTTTTTATCATCTGTTTGACCACTTTTTGTCTTCTTTATAATCATCTTATCATCGGATGACTTGCCGTCAGATATCTCCAAATCGGCACTCCTTTGGGACACATTTTCTTCAGATTTCTTCAATTCATCACTACTTTTGATAACATTTTTTTCGTCGTCCTTTAAATTATCATCTTTTTTGACCAAAACTTTAGATATCTTTTCCTTAGATTTACTCATAGATTGAGTATTTGAAGACATTTTACGTTAAATTAAACGTAAATTTAATTTATTTATAAAATTATTGCATTAATTATACAAAACAATGACAATTTGAAAGACAATTGCATTGATTGAGTTAAACAATGAATTCATTCAACACTTTTACTAAATACTTACGGTTTATGACAAACATTACAGGAAAAGCACTCAAAACTTTGTACAACTTTATAAACCCGTTAAGCGTACGCTCTCTTGAGAGTTAGTTGTATAATCAAGGTGAATTATTCGAAAATGAACTTGATAACAAATATATTTTATACAAATATTTTATACAAAATAATAGTGTAATAAATCTTACAAACTTTAGATAAATATTTTATTTTTAAATGTAAAACATAATTATTTGGCAGTGAATTGAATTTCGCAACTAATCATAAATATCTGAAATATAATTTATATAATTTTTAACTCAATTTATTGAACTGAAAACTGATGAAAACAATCACTGAAGACATTCTGGGATTCAAATCGCAATACAAATTGTTTCGCAGACTTTTATCATTGGCGGCGAAAAACTTGCCAAACATTTTCTCGTTGGTCTGACTGCCGAAGAGAGCGACGGCTGGAAAGAGATTTTGAAACAATTGCGAGAAATTTAGCGAAAAGTTGACGCGATTTGCGAACAGAATGGCAATTGTTGTCGACGTCTTGTGTTGATTGCAATCAAAGTCTAGACTCTTCTTGAATTCCGATAATTGGGTTTCAATTGTAAACTCGTGTCTCGTTTCCAATACAATGCTCGCAGACCTGACATTCTGTCCGCCAATTGTTAGCACAAGATTGTCGAGCAATCGGTCCTCAATTGGTCGACATTTGGTCATATGTTTGACAACAGCGACGTCTCCGCCACCGAACGCTACTTTGTTTTCAAACTTTTGGATCAGATTTTGAAGCATTGCTTTAGTGGCGAGGGTTTTGGCCGGAATCGCGTCCTTATTTGATTTGTCCAGAACTCGGGACGACTGGAAAAAGAGGACACACTTTACGTTTTCGGTTTGGAGAGAATTAGAGAGCGATTGCCAATCGGGTTCTCGAAAGGCTTTCACTTCAATGCCCTCAATATCAGGAACGATCAGACATGACATACCTATTGCTTAACAAATGTTTCCAAAATTTGTAAATTCTTCAAAAATACATTTAAATATTTATGATTACATGGAAGCGATGTCCTCCGGAATGGGTGTCCACTCTCTGATAGTTCGACATAATTTGTTAAACTCTTGTACTTAATACTACTCGTGAGTATCGCTTGTCCGACATCTAAGAAAGTGATTTGACAGTCTTTGGACAAGTGTTGGGTCACATTCTTTAACGTGTTTTGTTTGAACCGGTAGTCAATGGAGTGTTGATTACCACCGATCATAAGAAACACATACTTTGGTTTCATATTAAGCCACACTTTTGTAAAGTATGAGAACGACTCGAAGAGGAACTGATTGTTTCCAGTGTTCAGTAAATAGAGATGTATTATGTCTTTCCTTTTATTGTGCTCATAGTCTGAGGCGTCAAAGAAGTCTTTCGACACCATATGACAGGTCAGTAAAGATCTAATGTCCAGTCGACTCAGTATTCTCTCCAATATGTATGGATTCTTTACCACTTGATTCATATCATATTCCGGTTCCATCGCTTCAATTCTGTAGATTTATTGGATCTAATGATCAATTAAGTGATAATGATTTTATGTGTGATTTCAATATATTGCCTCAAATTTGAATTATTAAAGGCATGATTTGTTTTAATTCATTGTTACAAAGTTATAAAAATGTCAATTACTGTCAGTATCATTCACATTATACTTATACTTCACATTATAAAATACACAAACTAACATTTTAAATGTTTAAAATACTATTTTAAGATCATTTGATTAAATACTATTTTTATAATAAGTATTGATTACTATATATTACTCTATTTACTCTAATAGTAAATAATGACAATGTATTTAAATCCATTATTTTTCTGCTGTTATTCAAAATTCTTTTTATTAAAATACTTGATATTATTCAATGAGATTATACTGTATTTAACGCAATTTAAATTGAATTCAAAATTAGTACAAATATTTAATTATAAAATTAATAAAAATATTTATTTAATACCAAATGTGTATTATTCTTGAAATAGAAAAATATATAAAATTATAGAAATAGATATGTTTTGAATACCAAATACAGTATTAGACTAGATTTCAATCTAACATTTAAAACAAATAATAAACTGTGGCTTAAAAATACAAAATGCAATCAAAGAATTAATGAGAATTTAAAAGATAATAAAAAATAATCAATTTTAAAAAACACAAACTATATTAAAAAGAATTACCAAATTGTTAACTATTTAATGATATACAATATATTATAGAAGATAATTGTTTGGTTGATTGGTGTGAATGTTGACTGTTGTGGGCATCGAGAAGACTGGGGGCGCACTGCTTACCGCTTATTCAATGTCTTCTTATTAATGGCTTTGTTTCTATTGTTTCGACGGGAAGTGAATTCACTTCTTTGATAACTAATGTTTTGAATTTGTTTCAAAGGGTTCAGCGAATCATTAGAAACGAAGCCGCGTTGCAAAAAACCGTTTTTAATACTCTCGGAATCGACCACTTTGTTGGGCATAAACGGCAGTTCAACGCCATATGATGTCTTCAGATGAGGCAACACAAGTGTATTCCGTCTTTGAAGTACTGAAAGTCTCTCTTCGTCGAGATGTGAGTCACTGAGAGAGCATTCGCCACGTTTTAGTGCAATCAAATTGTTGGGATCCATGAACTCTCTGTCTTCGTCAGCCATCGCTAATTGACTCCCAGTTCCCGTCGGAAGCTTTCGTTTCAATGAGTGCGAGATATCCATCGGAGATGCCGTAGCGACGGGTGTTCTGTTTGCGGTCAACAATTCATTCAGTTTTTTCACTTCATTTTCAAGGAATTGGATTTTTCGTGAATATTGTTCGTTCTCTTTGAACATTCTTTCCTTTGTCTTCCTCTCAAACATGAAAGACATTTCTTCGGTATTGAGTCGTGTATTCAAATCGTTAATAGTCTTCTCGTATTCTTCAATACTTTTCTCATTTCGCTTGCTTTCAGTCAATTGACTCTCAAGTTGTAAGCGTTTGTTCTGCTCTTCGGATAACATTTGAGCCAAACTTGACTTTTCTCTCTTTAGAGACGTAAACCGTTTGTCGACAAT